AGAGGAGACGGAGGGGATTTTGGTGGAAAGAAGAGGAGATGGACGGGGGATTTTGGTGGAAAGAAGAGGAAGTGAAGATGGAAGGGAGGTTGGTGGAAAGAAGATGGAAGGGAGGTCGGTGGAAAGAAGAGGAAGTGAAGATGGAAGGGAGGTCGGTGGAAAGAAGAGGAAGAGGAGATGGAAGGGAGGTTGGTGGAAAGAAGAGGAAGAGGAGATGGAAGGGAGGTTGGTGGAAAGAAGAGGAAGAGGAGATGGAAGTGAGGTCGGTGGAAAGAAGAGAAAGAGGAGATGGAAGGGAGGTCGGTGGAAAGAAGAGGAAGAGGAGATGGAGGACTAATGGCTTTGAAAAAAAAAAAGATTAGGGGGTGAGGAAGGAGAGAAACGATGAGTCATGCGTTTGTTATTTCTCACCATTTCAACCAAACAAAACGTATGAATTGACAAAGGAAGAGAAGGTTCATCTGTTGCATAGTGTTTAATCTTGGCTGCTTCAGATAGATCTATACATAGTTATAGATTTCCGCATAGAATTGGAGACATTGTGAAAATATAGGTATATGAGAGATTTTGTTCTTGAGAACTGATGTCTACAAGTACAAGGCCAACATTTTGATGTAACTATTCATTTGTTACAATTAGAGACAGTTTCTAAAAAAATAATAGCTGTCTACTTGGCGTTAACATAGCACGTAATGATATAGGCCTACTGTGAAATGGTGAAGTTTTATTAACGCCCCTATCAACACTATTACTATTAGTATTAGTGTCAGGTTATTTAAGAGAATGCTATACTGTGGTTTACTAGGGTAGCAAATGATGAAAAACTGTGGTTTACTTAGCAAGAAAATAGTGACATACTGTGATACAAAGGTAGCAAAGAGTAGGCTACATAATAAAATCCTGTCATACTAAATTAGCAAGTGATGGTTTCCTGTGATATTGAGATAGCAGATAGTGGTACGTCGTTCTTGTAAGAAAAATTCACCCCAGGGTATGGAATTTATTTCCATTCCAGAATGAAAATTTTTATCCGAGTTATGCCATACCAACTTTATGACCAAGACGTTGGTACGGGTTTTATTATTATTATTAT